TCCACTTCTTAGTGCGATTGGGGCTTCTGTAATAGCTGACTATTTGGTCATGAACATCCACACCCCCATGGCACTGTTGTACTCCCTTACCACACGGGGCCTCTTTACACCAACATGGGTATTGGTAGCCTTAGACCACCGCTGGCATATATCTTCGTCATCAATAGAGAACTCATTGGAAGCCATTAGTACCAACTTTTTGTCATACCAAGCAGTCACAGCCACCTTGTTATCATTTCGGACTTGGCAATCGGATGCCCCTCTGCCCTCTTTGCGCAAGGTTGCCTCAGTCTTTAATATTTGCTTAGCCTCTTTAGGTACCATGTTTTTCTTAATTGTGCCTGTTCCTCGAAGGCCTCTGTCATACAGATCACACAATAAGTTTGAGCTTGTAAAAAATCTATCAAAAAAGATACTTGTGCCAGCATCCACACTGCGCACAAACCTTAATACTGCTGCTTCACCAGTTGTGAGGGTTCTGTCAGGTTTAACATTCAGCTTTTCAATAATGGATAGCAATGCTTCTTTAGTTTGAAAAAATTCAAAATCGAGTACCATTCCACTTGGAGAAGCTAGGACAAACATTTTTAACCCGTCTGGGAAAGGTTTGCCAGGGACATGTTGCCTGATACTGATTCTACCTCGAAAAGGAATCATGCTTTCATCAATACTGACCTTCGATGGCCTTGGCAACTCGCTGCAACGAGTTCGTACTGCTTCCAACAAAGGTCTTACTTTCCATACCTGTCACTTTTTTGTCGTCTTCCAATACAGTGTTATCATTAATAACCTTTAACGAATGTCTGAGACGGAAAAATCTGTCTCTTGCCATTTTATCAGCTATCCAAGGGATCCTAGTTTTTGACTGCCAATACATTCTAATTCTTGGCATCTTTATGATTGACATAGCAAATGTCATTCCTATGAAAGTGGCAATTTCTTTGCTGTTTGTGTTAATACATGCACCTGTAGTTTCAATTGATTTCATATTTGTATACATTGCAATATCTCCCAAAAAATCCTCACTGACATAAGATAGGAAATACTCAATTGGTTTCAGTAAGTTACAAGCTCCTAAATTTTCTGTTGCATTCTGAGGAGCATGGTCTACGAAAGATTTATTTCGTAGGTAAAACAATCTTCTTGGCTCCCCAGCAGTTGAAGATACAGATATCTCCTGGAGATCCTCTTCAGAATCCGAGTCCGAAGAAGTGACAGCTTCTTCAACTCCAATTAGTCTCCCAGATGACGTCACTGCCTCGGGTAGCCAGTCATCATCACTCTCACTGAAGTCACTTTCATCAAGGAGATCCAGAAAAGACCTAGTCTGTGATTTGCCATCTCCTGTATGGGAGTAGTTGCTCCCTGTAACAATATAATAGTGCAGAGATGCTATGAGACAAACGTGATGGCTCTGTTCTGCCTAAGCTGATTAAGATGAAGTTGTAACATTGCCATGTGTTTTGTCTTGGAAATTATTGGAAAATTCTAGCATTAATCAGAATGGCAGAAATATTATCATACTGATACATTATAAAATGCAATGCCCACCTCTTCTTAAACGTGCAGCATCAGTTTGTCGAGATGTAGATGGGCCTGGTTCACTACTGTAGCTTCTTGATGATGGTGCACCACCTACAAAAGAATTGTATTTAAGATAATTTGCATCACTAGTTAGTTCAAGTTCGTCAAATAAGGTTACCATCACATAAAATTAATAGTATCACAAATTTATTGCAGGTATTTAAAACAATGGAACATGCATGATATCCCACCAGGTGAGGAGGTTGACTCACCAGCCTCTTGAGATGTACTTGTGGGGTCATCATGCTTCCTGACAACTGATGGTTTGTCACCTGCAAAAGTAATAATTTTTTATTAAATGTTATAGTTACCCCTTTCACACATTCCTGTAAGACCCAAGTGTCACAAGGATGATCGGTGTAATCGTAGGTCACATTCAACATCTATTTTTTCCCATTAATAAATAACAAACTTTGACAAAACTGTCGGAAAAATGCCCCAAGACTTTCATTATCATATCAGCATTGGAATTTCCGTCAATAACCAACAAATATCAAAGTATTTAACAAAAATCCAAAAAGTAGACGAAATTTCAGTCGGAAAAGTCCCGAGAGCACTTATATGATACACTTTTATTTTGCTTGTTTTTGCTAATTTTACACCATCATTTAAGCACGTCAAGCACTTACAATGATGAACTAAGGTTTAAAGTTCAATAAAATAAGCATGTTAAACTTCTACACAAACTGTACGAAGAAAAAAAGGAATATTTACCAGAGCTTGTGGATCTCAGTTTCCGCGGCATATTTGTTGTCCTCTTGCCAGCTGTGTTGGCTTCTGAGAGGTTTCTAAACCAATCAGAAAGCAAGACGCAATCATTGACGTCACTATGACGAGCGGCAAAGTCCTCTTCCTCGCGCGTAAAGTTCAAAAATCGCTTGAGAAGTTGCGTAATCAGGATGGCTACCGGTCTCAA